AAATTCAACAGGAGACACCACTGCACATACACTAGAATGGCTACAATTAAAAACACTAACAGTACCAAGTGTCAGCAAGAATGTGGAGGAACTGGAACTCTCATACAGTGCTCGTGGGGATATGTTGTTGTTGTTGTTAGGTGCTGTCAAGTTGGTTCCAACTCATAGTCACCCCATGTACAACAGAACGAAACACTGCCTGGTCCTGTGCCATCCTCACAATTGTTGTTATGCTTGAGCCCATTGTTGTAGACTGTGTCAATCTGTCTCATTGAGGGTCTTCCTCTTTTTCGCTGACCCTCTACTTTACCAAGCAATCTGTCTTCCAGGGACTGATCCCTCCTGATAACATGTCCAAAGTATGTGAGGCATAGTCTCACCAACTTTGCTTCTAAGGAGCATTCTGGTTGTACTTCTTTCAAGACAAATTTGTTTGTTGTTCTGGCAGTCCATGGTATATTCAATATTCTTCGCCAACACCACCCTTCCAAGGCGTCAATTCTTCTTCGGTCTTCCTTGTTCATTGTCCAGCTTTTGCATGCATATGAGGGATTGAAAACAGCATAGCTTGGGTCAGGTGCCCCTTAGTCTTCAAGGTGACATCTCTGCTTTTCAACACTTTAAAGAGGTCTTTTGCATCAGATTTGCCCAACGCAATATGTCGTTTGATTTCTTGACCGCTGCTTCCATGGGTGTTGATTGTGGATCCAAGTAAAATGAAATCCTTGACAACTTCAATCTTCTCTCCGTTTATCATGATGTTGCTTATTGGTCCAGTTGTGAGGATTTCTGTTTTCTTTATGTTGAAGTGTAATCCATACTGAAGGCTGTGGTCTTTGATCTTCATCAGTGATTGCTTCAAGTCCTCTTCACTTTCAGCAAGCAAGGTTGTGTCATCTGCATATCTCAGGTTGTTAATGAGTCCTCCTCCAATCCTGATGTCCCGTTCTTCATAAAGTCCATCTTCTCGGATTATTTGCTCAGCATACAGATTGAATACGTATGGTGAAAGGATACAACCCTGATGCACACCTTTCCTGACTTTAAACCATGCAGTATCCCCTTGTTCTGTCAAATGACTGCCTCTTGATCTATGTACAGGTTCCTCATGAGCACAATTAAGTGTTCTAGAATTCCCATTCTTCACAATGTTATCCATAACTTGTTATGACCCACACAGTCGAATGCCTTTGCATAGTCAATAAAATACAGGTAAACATCTTTCTGGTATTCTCTGCTTTCAGCCAGGATTCATCTGACATCAGCAGTGATATCCCTAGTTCCATGTCCTCTTCTGAATTTGACTTGAATTTCTGGCAGTTCCCTGTCGACGTACTGCTGCAGCCACTTTTGAATGATCTTTAGCGAAATTTTACTCGTGTGTGATATTAATGATATTGTTCAATAATTTCTGCATTTGGATGGATTACCCTACTTTGGAACAGGCGTAAATATGGATCTCTTCCAGTCGATTGGCCAGGTAGCTGTCTTCCAAATTTCTTGGTATAGATAAGTGGGCACTTCCAGTGCTGCATCCGTTCGTTGAAACATCTCAGTTGGTATTCCATCAATTCCTGGAGCCTTGTTTTTCACCAATGCCTTCAGTGCAGCTTGGACTTCTTCCTTCAGTACCATTGGTTCCTGATCATACGCTACCTCCTAAAATGGATGAACGTCAACCATTTCTTTTTGGTATAATGACTCCGTATTCCTTCCATTTTCTTTCGATGCTTCCTGCATCTTTGAGTATTTTCCCTGTAGTATCCTTCAATATTGCAACTTGCAGCTTGAATTTTTTCCTCAGTTCTTTCAGTGAGAAATGCCAAGCATGTTCTTCCCTTTTGGTTTTCCATCTCCAGGTCTTTGCACATGTCATTAAAATACTCTACTTTATCTTCTCGAGCCGCCCTTTGAAATCTTCTGTTCCTCTCTTTTACTTCATCATTCTTCTGTTTGCTTTAGCTACTCGACATTCAAAAGCAAGTTTCAGAGTCTCTTTTGACACCCATTTTGGTCTTCTGGTGGGGGTATAAAATGATACAACTCCCCCATGACCTGATAATTCCACTCCTAGGTCTTTGTCCAAGGGGAAAGAAAACCCATGTCCACAAAAAAGGTTTGTAAAGGAGTGGTTACAGTGGCTCTGTTCATAATAATCAAACCCAGGAAACAACCCAAACGTCCATCAGTGGGAAACGGGGTAAACAAAGCGCGGCGTGATCGTATACGGGACACTGTTGAGCAATAACGCGACTGACAGAGTTAGCCACACAGACAAATCTCCGAAACACTACAATGAGTGAATAAAGGCAGACACAAGCGAGCACACACTGGGAAACTTAAATGACTTAGAACTCTGTTATTAATCTTCTCGGAGAAATACAATATGGCACCAGTGAAACAAAGAGAGACTACTATGAAAAAAAGCACTCAGACATTAGAAATACTTCAGCAGAAGAGAGCAACTGGAAGACACATTTGAGAAAAATATCCCAGAAAGCAGAAAAGACAGAGATGGAGAATATGCGAGAGAAGATACGAGAATTGGAAAACCCACCTAGGATGCCCGATATCTGACCACTAGGGGCTCCAGGAAGAGGGAAGAGACAGATGAAGTTCACACTGATAACAATCGATCCCCCAGAGTTGGAGGCACAAGTTTCCAAATCTGAAAGGGCCCACTGGGGGTACAGCATGATGGGTGACAGCAAGCAGCAGAGACCAGAAGAGGCCAGGGGGCTTTGGGGGTCACTCCCAGAAAGCAAGCATGACAACCTGGTATGTCTGACACCAAGGGGGGTTAATGCCTCCGCAGAGCGTCTGCTGCTGAAGCATGACACAGAGCAAACAGCAAAGCAAACGGCAGCAGTTATCAGCGCCAAGGAAGGAAGCACCACCATAGTCTACAGCAGTCCGCGACGTAGCTGGGAATAGGAGCTGTGTTGTCATAGAATATAAACAGTGATGCTGGCTTTACTGAAAACTGTGACAGAACCACACTGGGGTCCTGAGTGGGAAGGGGAGACAGACAGACACTCTGTGTGCTGGCCGAAATAACCTAGAACTGAAAACAAACCGAACAGCAGGAAAGGAATGCTATTTAGATGTGCAGAGCAGAGGAGCAGACAGTTAAAACCACCATGAGTGGTTCTCTCTGGGAAGCAGGATTCGGTGATGGGGCTGGGGCAGAAGACGCTGTTTTGTCTTTATAGAACCATACGTCTTTCTAGCTATTACTTTGATAAAAATTAGATGTTCATAAAAAATGCTGTTGGATCTGGGCATTTTCCAGCGACCCTCAGGAGGCTGCTGCGTTAGGGGGTGTCAGCAGGAAGAGGCAGCCCCCACCCCTGGGTGCCCCCCACCATCCTGGCCACAGACCCTCACACTAAACCTCCTCCCTGTCCACCCAGCAGAAAGGCCACTGAGCCGCCCACTGGGGGCAACCTCGGGCCAATGTGCTTGTCCACTCTCCTGGGGACAAGATGCACTGTTACATCTCAGGGCTCTAGGATAAGACATGTACACGCCCACCACCTTAGCATACAGGTAAACAGAATTCTCTGGGGAAAAAGAGAAGCCAGTTCAGGGGGACTGGGATCACTTTATCACCCCTCCAGGTCCGTCTGCACCAGCTCTGGCTGCCGCCTGCAGACCAGGGAGTCTCAGCCGTACAGCAGCACCTCGGCCCAGGCCACACAGAGACCCCGTGGGCAGACACCGGGGTGATCCCTGGGCTACTCTGGGAATGATGGGAGCAGCATCAGGCCCACAAGGCCGGTCACGTCCTATTTGCGGCCCTAGCTCCTTCTACGATCAGCTGGAATGGGTGGGACAGGTTTCTGCTGGATGCGGTCACACGCCAGTTGGCTGCTAGTTCTGTCACTTGTCCGACACAGGGACAAGACCCTTTCTACAGAGGATTTCGGTCCCCCTGACCTCCCAGGGAGAGCCACCTCCCCAATGAGAATTGGCAAAGGAGAATGGATAGCGGGCAGGAGCCCAGACAGCTTCCCAGAGGCCTCCTGCCTACCCATCGAAGGCGCTCTGGCCCTCCACGCCAGCAGGGACAACTGAGGCAGGGCCAGCCATGAGCCCACAGGCATCGTCAGCAGGGCCAGGACTCGGGAAGCAGGTGCCTGGCTCCTGGCTGTGGGCTGGCGGCAGCAGTGCGCACACCAGCTGCGTCTGAGCGGGAGGTGCTCCACAGAGGCTGCTCCCCGCGGGCACACCCCAGCCTGGGTCCCTCTCCTCCTTGGGGACACAGGGGGCCAGCACAGAACCTGGCTGGGCATGCCGCTCCTCATGCCTGCTCCATTTCTGTCCCAAAGTGTATTGCTCTGATGTAATCTCAAGAGAAGGGTATCAAGCGTCAGAATGACAAATCAGGACAGGAGTCACTGGGGTGAGAGGTCCTGTGAGGGTTCACCAGCCCAGGAGCTAACGATGCTTTTGCTGGTTTTTGACGAAGTGCAAGGAAGTCTCTGGTTAGAAGCATTCATCCATAAAATGTGTATTAAAAATGAAAAGAAACTCACCGGGAGCCCAGCGGAGAGACTGGCAAGGGGGTAAGGAGAGAGAATTTTCAGAAGAGGGGACACAGCGGCTAATAAGCAAACAAGAACCCTCCCACCACGGTAAGCAAAGGCAATCAGAACGAGGTACGGCCTCTCGTCTACCTCTGCAATGCATGCAGCTCTGGAGCTGCCGGCACAGCTGGCCCCCTGCAGGGAGACTCGCACCCACCCGTATCTCCCACCCGGATCTCCGAACACCGTTCCGGAGGAGGCCCAGAGGCTGTGCTGTGAGGCCGAGTCTCCCCCTCTGACCCCAGGGCACTGAAGGCGCCGCCTTCACCCGGTGCTGCCGTGAGGCCGGCGCTCGGCACAGCTCAGCACGTCGCTCTCGTACCCTGTAAGGATCGCACGTGCTCTGTGAAGCCCAGAAACCACAAGCAACAGCCCAGGGAGGGTCCTCAGGGATCGAGGGTGGGCACTCACCTTGCACCCCCTCCCCCGAGCACCAAGGCGATGGCATTGCCGGTCAACACGCGCGCCAGGCGGGAAAAGTCTGAGTGCCGGTCGGGTGGCCTCTGGAAGACGCGCTCGTACATCTCCACCTGCGCAAGGAGTGCGTATGGCGGGGGCGGAACCGAGCCCCACCATCCCGACGGACGAGGGTCAGCTTCCTCGGAACCTGATCCAGAGCCCCCTGAGGATGCTGGCGCTGTTGTGCTGACGACACTGTCAGCGTCTGCACCATTAGGCTGGGCCCCAGACGCAGGGGGGCGCAGCAGGGAGTGACCGTGAGAACTGTCTGGGACGTTCGAGCAGGGGCAGGAGGGGCTGTGCCCTGGCGGGCCAGCTCTCACCAGCTTGGGCATGCTCCTCCGGGAGAAGACGCGCCGCGGGCAGCACAGGTGCAGGTGGCCGGAGCACCAACTACGCATGTTGAGCCACTCCACCGTGCGGGCCGGCTCGGGACCCTCCTCCCGGTGCAGTAGGATCAGCTGCTTCTGGGCGCGGACGGCCGTGTTCTCCAGCATCTGCTCCAGCTGAGAGAAGTGGGCCCGGCGGAGAAATACGCATCCAGAGAAGCCAGGAAGAGCCCCAGCGGCTCTGCGAAGAGGTGGCCCCTCCACAGCTGTCAGTGCCCCCCAC